CTGTGATATATGGATTGTCATCCATTCCCCAAAAAGCTAACGCTCTTCTCTGGCCCATTTATAAATGTAATAATACTAGATTTAGAAAATTCCAAGCAAGATTTCCCCTTGCTTTTCCCGATTGGTGATGTCCATCAGATTTTGATAATCCCTATTTTGAGAAACGGACTCGGATTTGCATCGCAAAGGCTTATTGTGGAGTGCGAACCACAATTCCCAGCAAGCAGCGGAGCCTACCTGGGCCTGTGCCTGCCTCTGATTGGATAGAATCGCCACGATGACGACCCAACCAGCGCTTCTGTTGTTGCATCGCGTTGCTTTCCGCGGGGAAGTGTGTAAGGGGCGGGGGAAACTTTGAAAGTTGGATGCTGCAGACCCGGTACCGGGAAGTTTCCTGTGGGTGGCAGGTGTGGGGAAGTGGATGCGCTCGTTGTCTTCTGCTCCCTTTCTGGGCCCGTGGGGAAGGGGAAAGTCTCTCTGGGGTGCTGCTCACGCCCCCTTAAGCCAGTGAAAATCTTCAAAGTAGCCCTGCGTGGATCCGGGGGCTTCTGGCCTTTTAGGGGGATACTTGGAAGCAACTCTTTGTTGGAGAAAGCTCTCTGTAGGGGATTCAAGGTGATGTTTTCATTTCTTGATGACCCCCATTCCACGTCGGGCAGTTTGGGGGTCTAGTCAGAGAAGCCTGTCAGAAATTTAGGGACGTCCATCCGGAGGTGGTGTTGAGGAGTGGAGAATCTGGGGTCCTTGGATTCGAGGCCCAACCCTTTGCCAGCTGTTAGACTTTGCTTAAGTTTCTCAACCCAGTGCCTCAGTGTCCTTGCCTGTAAAATGAGATGAGACACCCGAAGCGCTTGGAATGGTGTCTGGCACGTAGCAAGAGCTCAGTAAATATTAGCTATTACGGTCACTTCAGTTTTCATTGAACACGAACAGGAGGGTTTTTTCTTTTCTTGGTGGTGTAGAGGAGAGGGTTCAATCTCCCTTCATCTCCAATTCACTCACTTGCTCACGCACATATACACGCAGGAGTTTACATGCTCCAATGGAAGAAACAAACATGCCAACCATAATAAATATGTGAAAGATTATGGAGCAGAGATATACGAAGTATGACAAGAATGTTAAAGAGGAAGAGACTCTGAAGAAGGGTTGTAAAGTAGGGAAGTCAGGGAGGCTGGATGGCTCCTGTGAAATCTGTCTCTATACTATGGTGGCTGGAGAACATCCTCTTTAATGAGGATGATCGCTAATTCGGAGCACCATGTGCCAGGCACTCTGCAAGTCCTTTAACCCTCACTACTATCTTTTGAGGTAGATTCTACAAATGAGGAAACAAGGCACTGAGAGGGGAAGTATTTTTGCCAGGAAGGCCCGGATCTGAATCTTGCAATCTGATGTATGAATGAGAGGGGAATGAGGGACCAGTTTTGGAAGGTGATTGAAATTGATTTTATTTAAAAAATTTGATCCTAAGGAATTTGGAATTAGTCCTGTGGTCTAGTGTGCCTGTGTAAAGATTTAAAAGAACAAGCATGACTTTTTAGGAAGCTACTTCTGGTAGGATTGTGACACTGATCTGACTTTTGCAGGCCAGTTGGTGCTTGTCTGCTCCCATAGCACACTGAAATAGCAGGTACCATACTTTTTCATGGCTATGGTTATTCGTGTATCCATCTCTTGAATATGCTTAACTCATTCTTATATCCCAGGGCTCAGGAGAGTATATGCTTAAGTGTCTATGGAAGGAGCAAATTAAGGAACAAATGTATGAAGAATACTTTTTTTTGGTGGTTCTTGGTAGGGTGGGGAATGACCAGAAGCAGTATGTAATAGTCCAGCCAGATGATGGAAGTAACTCTTAAGGCTGAGATGGCAGAATGGGCTACTGTTAAAGTCTTTGTAGTTTGGTATTTATAGTTTTTTTTTTTAATTGACTGTATCAGTCCAAATGGTATTGCCTAGAACTATCTTACCTGGAAAGACACTAGGCCATGATATGGCAGACGTCACTAGGCATATTTTCTATTGAGGAAACAAAGCAATACTAACAAATCCCCACTGAGATAAATGAACAGGATGTATTTTCTGTTTGTGGGAGGAGCGTGTGAGAGAGAGAGAGACAGAGAGAGAGAATGGGTTAATCTTATTTAGAGATTTTAGGTGTTAAAAAGAAATTTGGGCCATAGTGTTGGAAATAGATATTTATCTTCTTAGGTAGATATTTGTTCTAAAATATTACTTCTTTTCTGATGATTATGTTGCATTATTTCCTGAAACAGTGAAGAGTCCCTGTTTCTACTCTTGCCATCTTGATGTGATACACATCCTCTCTGCATGCATTATTAAGAGAATCTCAGTGATTCTGTTGTAGCTCTCTGAGATATGTTATACATTTCGTTTACCCCTAGCAGGATACAATAAGAGAGGGATTTTTGTGTGGGAATGTAAGAAGTTAGTGAAATAAACAATTTCTGTTTACGGTAGCATCTGCAATCATAAGATCTCATTTGATTCAGAAGGTTTGTTCTGACTCTCAAAAAAGAGAAGGGTTACAGAGGATTATGGAATTGCAGTAGAGTATAATTCTTAAGAGGATAGATCTCAGAGTCAGACTGCCTGAGTTCAAATCCTAGGTCTACTGTTTGACTTTTCTAATGACAATGGACCAGTTAATACTTTCAGGCTTGAGTTTCCTCATCTTTAAAAAAGGCGCCAATAGTCTACTTTCTTTGTAGGGTTGTTGAGAAGATGAAGTATGATAATTTAGGTAAAGCTTTGGAACGGTACCTGGTTTATAGTAGGTGCTTAATAAATTTACCTGTTATTACAGCACAGGGAAAGTGAAGACTTTCTAGGAGTACTGTTTGGAAATATGCCTTGAAGGTTAATTACAAATCCAAATAAAACTTGTGAATCTATTGAATTTATTTTTTTTAAACTGTAGGACATGTGCACTCCATCAGAGAGAGACAGAGAGAAAGTGAGAAATCATCCTCTTCCCTCCTCCCACTGCAAGAGGGATGGCAATGTTGCAAGGCTTCACCTCCATTTTCGTTTTAGGGTTTTGAGCACACATACCTGGCATATTGATTAAGCTGCTGGGTCTGGGATTCAAACCACAGAGTCAACCATGTGGGATCCAGTGCCTTAATCACCACACTACCTGCTGGCTCTCACTGAAAAATCTTAAGATGCAATATAAATGTGAAATTGTAAATTTTTATTTTTGCAGAGTGTTTTGGGTAGCCCAACCACCATTGCTTGTTACTTTCGTTCTTTCTCTCTCTTTCTTTGAAAGCTTATTCATTTTCTCCATGAGTGAGAGAAACAGAGAGACAGACAGCACCTCCAACAGGGCCCCAGAATTGTGATCTACTCCTAGCACCAGCTGGTCTCCAGCTGTGGGCACACATGTGCCTGGCATACTCAGGGAGGTGTCTGGATGCAAACCTAGAACCCTCCCATGTGGTAGCACCACCATCTGCAGCCCACCCATTCTTATGTTGCTTTATTTATGTTACGAAGGTTCTTCTTTGCTGTATCTGGAGACATGGGTAGCAAGAAGCTAAGACGAGTGGGTTTATCACAAGAATTATGTGACCGTCTGAGCAGACATCAGATTGTTACCTGCCAGGTAAAAATTAAAAAAATTTTTTCAGTGAAAAATTTTGTATAAAAATTATCTTTAAGTATACCTTATAACTTTTAAGCCTGAAATATGAAAACTTGAGTGTACAAAAAGAAAAAAGATAAATGATGGTGCTTTTCCATAGGCTAATTGTAAACAATAGCCACTTAGGTTGCATTTTCAAATGCGATTTTATTTGCCCAAATTTAATATTTTGCATTTGGAAGAAGAATGGTCATGGTATAAGATGAAGTGCACCTGTATCCTTTATTGGGGGGGGGTCTAAAGTTTTACCCACCTAAAATAAATTTTGTAGTTACATGAGAAAAATGACTTAAATGAGGAGATGGTACTCAAAGTGGATAATTTCTCTTGAAAGTAAGAGAAATTAGTAGTTAGGACAATTTTCTTATTGATGGGGCCTGAGAAATGTACAGAGCATATGTTGCATTTTTAAACACAGTGTGAAGCAAAACCCTCTTGGGAGGGCAAATAAGATTTGGAGTTTATGTCTTAGGATTTTATCCTTAATAAGACATTTTCAGAATGTCCTGCAATTTTTTTTTTTTTTTGAGAGGTTTTTCGCTATAGGGTACGTGTGCTCGCCAGACAAAGACATAGAGACAGAAAGCGAGAAATCACCCCCCAGGGGGGATGGCCACGCCACAATCCCTTCTCCTCCATTCTCCTGTCGGGATCTTGGGCATGCACGCACACGTGCCCGGCGTGAGTTTTAAGCCACCAGGTCCGGAATGTGAACCGCGGTCTACTACGTGGGAGTCCAGCAACATAGCCATTATGCTAACTGCTCATTCCCTGTCCTGCAATTTTTAAAAATTGCTTTGTGTATTAAAGTTATCTTTTGTGCTACTGTGTACATTTAATAATTCTCCTGTTTATACTTCAAAATGCTCTTAAAAGTATGAAATTTAGCATTTCATTCCATAGTCAATTTTATTCTTTCTTAATTATCACACACTTTCTCTGAATGAACTCCTATCTTAGAAGGAAATTCTGTTTCAATCTGATTCTTTCTGGGCATATGTTTATACACAGAATCTTTCTGGCACAAGGGCAGTGCTCGTTAAACCTGGGTTGTTTGTTGCTGCTGTGATGTTATTAGATGGACTCTCTTTCCTTTATGCTAACTAATTAGAAAATAAGACTATGTTGTTGCATCTTTTAGTTAAGGCATTTTTTTTGGGAAATTCCTATAAGGAACACATATATCTTTGGTATGCAATATATTATACTTTTATTTATATATGGACAGTATTAGTGGAAAGTTTCTTTTTAATTCTAGTATCTTTGTTATACATCTATGTTTAAAATATTCTCTTTATGTCTCTTTAGGACTTTTTATGCCTGTCTCCTTTGGAGCTTATGAAGATGACTGGCCTGAGTTATCAAGGTGTCCATGAACTTCTGTATACGGTCAGCAGGGCCTGTGCCCCACAGATGCAAACGGTATATACATGTATATGTATAATGTTTGTTATGATTTGATTATGGAATGATTCTCTATCTTATTTAAAATCTTTTTTGGGGACCAGCAGGTGACGTGGTGGTTAAGGTGCTGGACACTCCCACATGGCTGACCACGGTTCAAGTCTTGGACTTGGTGGCTTGCTTTCTCACTTTCTCTCTCTCTCTCTCTCTTTATCCCTGTTTCTGGTCATATTAAAATAAAAAAATGAATGAATGAATAAATACAGAAATAATCATGGGGAAAATATTAAAAAAAACTTTTTTGGAGATGAGGCAAAAGCTATCAAAACTATCAAGTCTTCTACCATAGAGTTAGTCTTTCAATGAGAGTATTTGTAAAGTATTTATGTAGTTTATAAGCTCAAGGGAGACAGTTCTTAATTATGAGAATTAGGAGGCATCAGGAATTTAACATTTTTTTCTGTAGCCTATAGTGGTATTTCAAAAGGTCATCTTTCTCTGTGGTGTGTTTGGTTAGAATTTGAGTGCTCCTGGTTAAATGATAATGTATTAGGTCGTTGGGAAAGTCATGACATACTTTCTGGTTTTTTATACAAAATGTGTCATGACTTTCCTGATGACCCAGTACATTGACACTTGAACAATGCTGGGATAGAGCGTCAATCCCCTGCAAGGTCGAAAATCCATGTGTAATCATTTTCTACCTTGTTTTAGTTTTTGCTATTGAGTACATGGGCTCATCACAGAGTGACAGAGACAGAGAGAGAGGGAAAGTAAGAAATCACCCCCTAGGGGGCACGGCCACACTGCAGTTCTTTCTTCTCTCAGGATTTTGGGCATGTACCCACACATTCCTGTTGTGATTTTTAAGCTGTCAGTCTGGGACTTGAACTGCAGAGCCGGCTATGTGGAATACAGCTGCCTTAACCTCCATGCCACCTGTTACTTCCCACCATAACTTGTGACTTTGCCAAAGCTTAACTACTACTCTTGACCAGAGGCTTTACTGATAGCATACATAGTTGAGTAAGATATACTTTGTATGTTAGGTGTGTCATATGCTGTATTCCTACAAGACAGTTAGCTACAGAAAATAAAATGTTATTAAGGAAATCATAAGGAAGAAAAAATATATTTACAGTCCTATACTGTATTTTTCAGTATAAATACTGAAAAGGATTCACATATAAGTGGACCTGTTCAGTTCAAACCTCTATTGTTCAAGGATCAGCTATACTCTCAATTTTAGAATGCCCCTTTTTTTCTGAAATACTGACCTTTGCCATCATTTCCTCTACATCATAAAATATATATCACTGTACTTAGACATGCTGCCTGATTTCATAAGTGACACTTAAAAATGTATCTTTACTCTTGAGAAAAGTCAAAGTCTTTTATAACGAGCCCTCATCAAATTATACTATTTTTCACACTTTCTATGTCATGACTGTAACTTTTCAAAATATAGGTTTTGTTTATGGTAGAAAAGATCTTGTTTTTCCCAGAATAAGAGTTACCTAAAAGTGCTTAGTGCTTTGCAAATATATCTATTTATGCGGATTCTAAATTATCTATCTTGCTGTAGTATATCGAACCAGTGGTAACCTCTGAGCAATGAAGTAGGATGCAATTGTCTGAAGAAAGAATAAAGAAAGAAATGTCAGTGTCATTTTAAACTTCTGAAAACAACAAATAGATAAAATATCTGAATTTAGCTTATGATCAAAGGAAGGTATCTTTATTTATTTACTTTAAGGTTTTTGCCATAGGATATATACGCTCTCCAGAGAGGGAGAGAGAGAAAGAGAGGGAAAGTGAGAAATCATCCCCCTAGGTGAGATGCCACACTGCAATCCATTCTCCACTTGGGATTTTGGACATGCTTGTATATGTGCCTGGCATGATTTTTAAGCTGCCAGGTCTGAGACTCAAACCACAGTTGGCCATGTTGGAGTCTGGTGCCTTAACCTCCATTCCATCTGCTGACTCTCAAAAGAAAATATCTTTTTAAAAAATTGTTAATTTAGGGACCAGCAGTTAGTGTAATGGCTATGTCGCTGGACTCCCATGTAGTCGACCACGGTTCATGTCCTGGACCTGGTGGCTTAAAACTCACGCCAGGCGCATGTGCATGCGTGCCCCAGATCCCAAGAGGAGAATGGAGGAGAAGGGATTGTGGCGTGACCATCTCCCCTGGGGAGTGATTTCTCGCTTTCTCTCTCTGTCTCTGTCTGGTGAGTGCACGTGCCCTATAGCAAAAACCTCTCAAAAATTTATTATTATTATTATTATATTATTATTTGTTATAGGCACATGTGCTCACCAGAGGGAGATAGAGAGAGAGAGAGAGAGAGAGGGAAAGTGAGAAAACAAGCTGCCAGGACTGGGACTCAAACTGTGATCAGCCATGTGGGAGTCCAGTGCCTTAACCAGCATGCCACCTGCTAGCTCCCAAAGGAAAATATTTTAAAGACAGAATAATCAGAAGGAGAATTAGACTTGGAGTTAGAAAATAATGCAGTCCCAGCAGATGGTGTAGTGGTTATATTGCTGAACTCCCATGTGGTTGACTGTGATTCAAGTCCCAGACCTGGCAGCCTAAAACTCAAGCTGGGTATGTGTAGGTGCATGCCTAAAATCTCAAGAGGAGAATGGAGGAGAAGGGATTGCTGTGTGGCCATCCCCCCTGGAAGGCGGGATGATTTCTCACTTTCTGTCTCTCTAGTGAGCGCATGTGCCCTATAGCAAAAGTCGCTCTTAAAAAAAGAAAGAAAGAAAGAAAGAAAGAAAGAAACAAAGAAAGAAAGAAAGAAAGAAAGAAAATGATGCTAATCTTAGTTTTATGATAGTTTTTTTTCTTCAAATGGCTCTCTTTGGGTTCTAGGAGATGATAGAAAGTTCAGATATTATATGATAATTCTGTGACTAGATTCAAATTAACCTGTTACTATTTTGAAGGTTATAAAGCACTAGGAAAACCTTTTAATTTGGCATCTGTCATTCTCATTGGTCAGTATCTATGATACATTTCCAGCTAAACGGTTACATAAGGGAATATGGGCAGGATATTCCATTTTGGTTTCTATTTCCATCACCATTTCTAGCTGCAATCTCAATACTATTCAAATATAATTTAAGAAGTCTTCTTTCTTCTTTGGTTGACATTCCCTGTTGTGGCATTCTTTATATGTAAGTACTGCCTTAAACATTGATTTAGCTTTAATTCATCTCTTGCAGAAAGACCTTTTTGTTCAGTTATTTATTTATGTATGCAATAATTTATTCCTTCAATCCGTATTTACTTGGTGCCAACTATGTATCAGGGACTTTGTCTAGTACTAGAAATGTCATGGAACAAGATTATAAAATTCCTGCCATCATATGATTTATAGCCTAGTTGGGGGGGGGAATCAGACATTAAACAAATAATTACAGAAACAAATAGTTAATTATAGAAGCACTAAGTTCTGTGAAGGAAAAGTACAGAGCTGTGAAACTTAATAACAAGGGACATTACTTATTTTGGGTATCAGGAGGACTCCCTCAGTGAAGCACTATTTCAGCTAAAATGTGCAGGATCAAGAGGTAAGAGAGGTAAAGGAGTAGGGGAGAAAAGTTGGCAAAGAAGAATTCTTGGCCATTGGGAATAGCAGATGCAAGGTCTTGTGACGAGAAGGAGAATGGTGCTTGTTTGGTGATGAAATTAAGCTCATACGCATGGAAAAAAAGAGTAAGTCAGAAAGTGGCCAGAGATGAAGCAGAGAAGTAAGCAGGAGTCAGATTACAAGGGCCTTGTATACCATAGTAAGGATTTTGAACTTTATATTGTAAGAGCAATGGGAGGTCATAAAGGGGTATAATCTAATATAAATCCTTTCAAATCCAGTCTTGGGGCAGCCCCACATTACAGCAGTTAAGGTAGCCAGATCCCACATGGCCAGCCATGGTTCAAATTCTGGCCTGGTGGCTTGAAAAACACACTGGGTATGTGTGCATGTATACCCAGATTCCTGATGGGATTGCAAAAGGGAGAAGAGATTATGGCATGACCACACCCCATGTGCACTCACTCTCTGATGAGTGCACACAGCCTCTTACCAAAAAAAAAAAAAAAAAAATGAAAAACAAAAAAATCAGTCTTGAACATAGACAAGTGTATATTGATTGAAAAGGAGCAAGAAAATATTCTTGTATGTAGGTAGTAGGATCTATTTTGGTATTTATTACCATATTTTAGATAGTGATTGTGATTTGGATTATTACTATAATTATTAATGCAGAGGGTATAATGTTGGCTAGTATAAGAAATATTCAGGTGGTAGATTAATAGGATTTGGCAATCATTTGACTTTGGGTAGCAGTGAAGAAGGAAGGTGTCACAGATGCTTCTCTGATTTTTCTTTGAAAAACATTCTGATAAATTAGAGCATTTAATTGCCTATTTTCTCCAGATTGATTTGTTGAATATTTGCTAAAGACTAGTTCTTTAAGCTAGACCATATGATGAATCCCAAATGGCAGTACCTCATTGTTTGCTTAGCCTTTGTACCTATATTTTTCAGAAGATAAAAAAATACTATCATAAATTGTAAATAGTCAATACATAACTGTATTGTATGCGAATCTGTGACTGTTGGCAATGTCATCCAGAAGAACAGATAAAGTTTATTTACTACATATAAAAAAAAAAGAAAAACACAGAAGGACCATTTCTTAAAGTAAGAAATATTGGAAGAGGAACAGGTTGAGGGAGGCAAATCATGAATTCAATTTAGTACTGTCTCAGTTTTGCAAATTTAGGGCGATAAGAAATAGGCAGTTAATTATCTGGACCTGGACCTTGAAGGAGAGCCTGCACTAGAAGTATGCACTTTGGAGTCATTGTGTAAATATGGTAGCTAAAGTCATGGGAGTAGATGAGGGATTGTTTAAAAAGTATATGAAAGTATATATAGGAAGAAGGCAGGTGGGTCAGCCCTGGTGATGCAGTGGTAATGTGCAGTGGTACCCGGCGTACTCAGGGTAGGTACATGAACCCTCCCATGTGGGTCAGCCTCGCAGAGCATCATGTCTATGCCACCATCAGGCCCCATTTAATAAAACATTTTAAAAAATTAGATAAAATATCAGCATTCCAAAATGTTAGTAATAATTAATTTTAAAAATAAATTTTCTTGTAGACCATTACATTTTATAGTTCTAAATACAACAGTACTATTAAAACCAATGAATAACATGAGCAAAGTCTTGTATAATTTCCTGTGGACAAACACTTATACTAAGAAAACAGGAGAATTTCAGGATTTTTTTCTATTAGAAAATCTGCAGAGATACTATGTTCCTGGTTTTAGATACATTGCTATTCCCACTACCATTATCCCGGTTAAGCCATCTTTATTTTTCTTCAGTTACACTAACTTTCTGACACATTTCCAGCTTCCAGTATTATCTATTCACCTTCAGGCTATTCTTCAAAAACAACACTGAATGATTTGTGAAATGATAATGACAATGATGTATCATTATCCTTTCTCTTCAAAAATTTTATGTATTAATTTCCTGGGGCAATTCCAACACAAAATACCAAATACTGGGTGGCTTCAAACAAAAGAAATGTATTCTCTTATGCTTTTGGAAGCCTGAGATCCAAAATTAAGCTATAGGCAGAGTTGTATTCTCTCCAGAGGCTCTAGGGGGTAATCCATTCCTTGACTCTTCCAGCTTTTTTTTTTTTTTTTTTTTTTTGGGGGTTTTTTTTACTGGGGCCGCGCTTTTACAGACAGAGAGAGACATAGAGACAGAAAGAGAGAAATCACCCCCCAGGGGGGATGGCCACATCACAATCCCTTCTCCTCCATTCTCCTCTCGGGATCTTGGGCACGCACGCACACGAGGCCAGCATGAGTTTTAAGCCACTGGGTCCAGGACGCAAACTGTGGTTGACTACGTGGGAGTCCAGCGATATGGCCATTGCGCTAACTGCTGGTCCCAACTCTTCTAGCTTTTGATGACTATTAATATCCTTAGCTTGTGGCTGCTTCTTTGTACCATCTCCCATTTCCTCTGTATATTGAATCTCTCTGCCTTTTTCTTCCTTCCTTCCTTCCTTCCTTCCTTCCTTTCTTCCTTCCTTCCTTCCTTCCTTTCTTTTTCTTTTTGATTTTCCAGAGGCAAATCCTTTGCCAGAGAGATATGGTACCTGGAAGGTGGGGTAAGAAAACACCCCCCATGGGGGATGGTCATTCCACAATCCCCTCTTCTTCACCTCTCCCTTATTTTGGGATTTTGGGCACTCATGCACACATGCCTGGTGTGTTTCACAAGTTGTCAGGTCTGGGACTCTATCCAAGCAGTCATCCACAGGGGGTCCGGCTGCCTTAATCACAATGCCACCAGCTGGCCCTCCGCCTCTATTTCTCTTTGTTTTTAAGTTTTCATTGTTGCTATAGGATGTATGCACTTGCCAGAGAGACAGAGAGAGAAAGAGAGAGAGGGAAAGTAAGAGATCACCCCCTCTGCCCCAGAGGAGATGGCCATGCCACAATCCCTTCTTCTCTATTCCCCTCTTAGGATTTTGGGCACCAGTGCACATGTGTCTGGCGTGTTTTTCAATCTGCCAGGTCTGAGACTCAGAGTGAACTGTTGGCCATGTGGAATCCCGCACCTTAAACACTACCCCCCTGCTGGCACTCTGCATCTTCTTAAAAGGATATGTGTGATGGCACTTAGGGCCCATCTAGATAATCCTGGATTATCTCCTCATGTCAGGATCTTTAGCTGGATCGCATTTGCAAAAAATCTTTTTTCCAGAGAAAGTAACACTCACAGACACTTTCCAGGGATTCATGGATATCTCTTGGTAGTTCATTTCTTCCCTTATTCAAGCTATTCTTCACTAATAAACCTGAGTTTGAAATGATAAATAAATTGAGTCATTCCTTTTTCCTCTCAGTATAAAGTCCAAACTTCAACAAAGCTCTTCATGATTTCATCTCATCGCTTGGTACATTGTGACCGCACTCCGTCTTTCAGGTGTTCGAAATGAACTCTTCATTTTTTTGTAGTTTTTGTTAGTTTCCATTTCCTTTCTTTCTTGTTCCTTGGCCTTCCTTTGTATACTCTGTCCTCTTTGGTGAAAACATTCACACTCCTTTTTCTTATCTAACAGTTATTTCAAAATTAAAAAAAAATCATTTATTTATTTATCTGTATATTTGTTGTGATTTTCGAGCTGCTGTGTCTAGGACTCAAACCATGGCTTAGCCATGTGGGAATTTCAGCTGTCTTAACCGCCACACCACCTGCTGTCCCCAGTTGTTTAAAATTTTAACTTCGACATCCAGTTCTTACATGAAGTCTTCCTGAATCACAGAATCTAGATCAGGAGTACTGTTTCTATGTTTCCACTTTCTCTATCATATATCTCTTCTTAATTTTACTCTAATTGCCCAGTTTCTAGCCCCAATATCTTTTTTTAAAAAGAATTATTTATTCATTCATTCATTCATTCATTTTACTTTGACCAGACACACACACACACACACACACACACACACACACACACACACATATAGAGGAAAGTGAGAAAGCAAGCCACCAGGTCTGGGACTTGAACTGTGGTAGGCCATGTGGGAGTGTCCAGCACCTTAACCATCACGCCTCCTGCTGGCCCTTATACTCCCAATTTCATAGTCCCTTGTTGACTACATATTGAGATAGCAGGGGTGCTATCTGTTGTATTATGTCCCAATAATCTAGCTCAATCTCTGACCTGAGAAATATTTGTTGAACCAATGCAAAATAAAGGAGAAAAAAGGTGGATTGGGGTTATAGCTACTAAAACTTAGAGATCTGGAGTTGGTTTATGTTATTGAATAGAAATGAAGGTTGAAAAGATCTTAATCTTTTTCTTGATCAGGCTTATGGACTAAAGACACAAAGGTCTGCTCATCTCTCACCAGCATTCTTATCTACTACTCTTCCTGCTTTGGATGAAGCTCTGCATGGTGGTGTGGCTTGTGGATCCCTCACCGAGGTACACAAAAAACTTTCCAAACCTTCCTCCAGTGACCTATAATCTTCAGAGCCAATGGAAAAAGTTTAGTTAGGAAACATAAACTATTTCATGAGCATTAATCTGAATTAAAGCATAAATACTTCAACTGTATGGTGGAGATTCAGTACCCAGTATAATTGTTTTGCAAGTAAGTGTTCAAAAACCTTGCTGAATTACTCAAATATGTTTAGGTTGCTGTTTCTTTGAATCAAGTTAGAAAGTGATGAATGTTATAAAATGTTATTATGAAACAGTTTGGGAGAAATGAAAAGATCACTACTGGCCAGCCAGGTGGTGTGGTGGTTAAGATAGCTGAATCCCACATATCTGACTGACTGATTTGAGTTTTGGACCCAGCAGCTTGAAACACAAGCTGGGCGTGTGTGTATGTGTCCAAAATCCCAAGAGGAAAATGAAACAGAAGGGATTGTGGTGTAGTCATTTCCACTAGGGGTGCTTTCTCTCTTTCTTCCTCTCTGGCAAATCTTTAGTGCCCTATAGCAAAAAAAAAAAAAAAAAAAAAAGCAATAACTACTTAATATATCAGAAAGGAAAATTTGAAATTTTCCTAGCATATGGGCAAATTACAGTATTAAACTAAAGTGTGCTATTTTTGCTTCCAGTTGTGAATAACATTTGGTCTGAGGAAGTGATAGGTTATTGTATGAGTTAATATTGTTATGTATCAGGTTATTCCAAAACCAGCAAGTTAAACAACAATAAACATGTTACTTCTCAGTGTCTTTGGGAGTGGCTTAGCTTGGCGATACAAGGGTTTCCCTATCTGAAGCTTGGTTGAAGCTAGAGAGTTTGTTTCCTAGGGACCCACTCACATGACTGGTAAGTTGCTGGTTGCTGGCAGGAGGCTACCTTTGTCCCCATGTGGGCTCTCTACATGCTGTGTGAGTCTCACAGGACATGATGGATGACTTCTCTCAGGGTGAGTGGCCCAGGAGAATGCAAAAGGGAAGTGGTAATGCCTTTGATGCTCTTGCTCGGAAAGTTCCACACCATTACTTCTGCCACATTCTCTTCATTAGAAGTGAATCATTAAGTCCATTCCATATTCAGGGAGAGGGAAATTAGGTTCTGCCTTTTGATGGAAGAAGTGTCAAGAATTTTAAGACATTTTAAAACCACTATAGGTGTTTTACTTGAAAACTATATTGGTGTACTAATGGATGTGGCAACTTGTTAGCCTGTGTTTACCAATTCATTCCTGAGAACTTTTGCCTGAAGGCTCTAGGAGCATAGAAACTTTCAGCAAATTAAACAAGAGCAGACTCTTGAGCCAGCTCAGTGGGACAGTGATTAAGGGAGCCAAATCCCACATGGCCTACCACAGTTTGAGTCTCAGCCCCGACTACTTGAAAAACATGCTGTGTGTTTTTGTGTATGTGTGTGCGTGCACACACATGTGCATGCCTAAAATCCTGGTAGGATGGAAGAATGGAAGAAGGAAGATTGTAGTGTGACCATACCCCATTGTGGGGTGCTTTCTCTCTCTGGTGAGGACATGTAGCCTATGGCAGTAAAAGAAAAAATAAAAAAGAATAGACTTTTTTTTCACATTCTGATAATTATAATTTAACAATAGCTATTTTTTCCTTTATGATAAAGACTCTACTTGGATATTATATAGTTTGAATATGTCCCCCCCAAATTCATGTGTTAAAATTTGGTGAGCGAGTTTAATGTACCATTTTAATATTATAATGGAAATAGGTGGGTGAAAACTCAGTGTGACTATGATGTTGAAAGGGAGTAGGGCTTTTGGGGAGGAGATTAGGATTAAGGTCATCAGGGTGGGGTCCCTATGATTGAAGCTTGGTGGGATTATATAGAGAGGGAATGAGAAGAGAAACATGGACATAGACATGTTCACTTTTTCTGTCTGCCGTGTTACCTACTAGCAAGTAGACCCTTGCTGGATGCAGTCCCAAGCCATGAGCTGAGTAGACCTCATTTCTTATATGTGTATATACACATAAATATATTTTAAAGAATTAGTTATTTAATTTTATTATTATTTAATTTGCTATAGTGCATGTGCGCTCACCAGAGACAGAAAGAAAGAGAAAGAAAGAGAAAGAATGAGAAATCAAGCTACCAGGTCCAAGATTCGAACCACAGTCAGCCATGTGAGAGTCCAGTGCCCCAATCACCATGCCACCTGCTGGCCCCAAACCTCTATTTTTTTTTGGAGAGGTTTTTGCTATAGGGCACGTGTGCTCACCAGAAAGACAGAGATAGAGAGACAGAAAGCGAGAAATCACCTCCTGGGGGAGATGGCCATGCCACAATCCCTTCTCTTCCATTCTCTTCTCGGGATCTTGGGCATGCACGCACACATGCCCGGTGTGAGTTTAAACCATCAGGTCCGGGACTCAAACTGTGGTCAGCTACATGGGAGTTCAGTGACATAGCCATGACACCAACTACTGGTCTCCCAAACTTCTATTTTTATAAATCACCCAGTTTCAGGTATTTTCTGTTATTGCCAACAGAGTGGACTAGAACAGATGTTAATGCCTTATTTTATTTTCCATCTTCCAAGACAACAGATTTGCAGATATATATGAGCTATGCCTAGTAAATACCTATGAAATAGTTGGTATATTGGCTTGGTAGTACAGCAAATCATGTGCTGCTCAAGGGATGCCAGATCCATGTGGAAGGTGTTTATTTTTTAAAAATTTTGCCAGAGAATGTGTGCAGTCACCAGAGAAAGAGACAGAGAGAGGGAAAATGAGAAAGCATCCCCACCAGGGGAGTGGCCATGCCACAGTCCCTTCTCTATTCTTTTGGGATGTTAGGTGTGTATACACAGGTGCCAGCACTTTTCTTTTGTTATTGTCCTTCTATTTTTAATTAGATTTTTGCCATAGGGTGTGTGTGCTTGACAGAGAGAGAGAGACAGTGAGTGGGAAAGTGAGAAAACACCCCCTACTGGGGTAGCCATGGCACAATCTCTTCTCCTCCATCCCTGTCCTGGGACTTTGGGAACACATGCATACATGCCTGGCATGAGTTTAAAGCTGCCAGGTACAGGACTTAAACTGTGGTCAGCCCTGTGGGAATCCAGTACCTTAACCACCACATCAACTACTGGCCCGATTGACATGGTTTTTAAGCTGCAAGCCAGACTTGAACCTCACAGTCAGCCATGTTGGATTCAGCTGCCTTAACCACTATCTGCACAGGCTGGCTCCATGTGGAAGATCTTGATTTGGTTCTCTGTGGAACAGTAATTGATAGGTGGGTCCCCATGATCCTGGGTGACTTGAGGGGATTGAGCAGGCCATCTTGGCATAAGACTCTATTGAGAGCACTGGTCTCTTATTTTCTATAAAATAAATAAATGAAAACTAAAAAAACGTGAATGAGTAAGTTAGTTTTAAAAAAAAATAAAAAGAACCTCCTGTTGCTGTTGTAGTGTACTGCCACCAGATGGTGCTAGATAATATTTTACCTAATCTTTTTTGGGATCAAGTTAGACCTGCTCAAATAGGGTTTGTAGCAATAGTAATCCAGTTATAAACTTAGTCGTTCAAATAGCAAAAACAAAACAAAACAAAACAAAAACAAAAACAAAAAAAAACCCCAAAAACAAACTTATTTTATAATTGTATAAATGCTTTTTCACTTGCCAGTTATCAATGATTTTTTTAGGTTTTTGCTTTAAAGTGTATGCACTCACCAGAGAGAGACAAAGAAAGAGAAAGTGAGAAATCACCCCCAGGGGCAACGGCCATGCCGCAGTCCCTTCTCCTTCATTATCCTTTCAGGATTTTGGGCACACACATGTGCCTAGTTTGATTTTCAAGTTGCCAGGTCTGGAGTTTGAACCACGGTCAGCCAAGTGGGATCCAGTGTCTTCACTACCATGCCACCTGCTGGCTGCTTATCAGAATTTTTTGGAATTCCAGGGGAAGTTACAAGACTTTTAGGTGTTTTGTTATCATCTGGTTGGGTAACTTGTAATGAAAATACCCTGTTTTTTAGTGGAAAGTTCTCTATTTTCTGTTCTAGCTACAGATAGCCTCTTCAATCATTTTGGGTTTTTCAGTGGAGTACAGAGAGTATATCAGTATACCTTCTATATTAAAACAATTTTTTTTTCTTTATTTTTCTTCTCCCACACTAGAGTGTTTGTACCCTTGCTGGAGAGAGACAGAGAGGGAGAAAGAGGGAAAATGAGAAGGCATCCCCCTGCCCGATGGGTAATGGTCATGCTGTAATTCCTTCTTCTCCATTTCTCTCTTCTTTTGGGATATTGGACATGCATCCACATGTGCCCGGCATGTTTCTCAAGCCGCTGTTTGTGACTTGAACCATGCACTGGCCCATGTGGGATTCAGCTGCCTTAACCATGAAGTCACAGGCTGGTCCCAAAGTTTTTTTCTTTTTAAAATTTTTTAGAGAGATTTTTGCTATTGGGAGTGTGCACTTGCCAGAGAGACACAGAAAGACAGGGAGACAGAAAAGGAGAAATCACCTTCCAGGGGATGGCCATGCCATAATCCCTTCTCCTCCATTTTCCTCTTGGGATTTTTGGGCATACATGGACATGCACCTGGCGTGAGTTTCAAGCTGCTGGGTCCAGAACTCATATGGGAGTTCAACGACATAACCATTATATCATCTGCTGGTCCTGATCCCAAAGTTTTTTTTTTTTTTAAGAATTATCATATTGGGAACCAGCAGTTAGTGTAGGGGCTATGTCGCTGGATTTCCACGTAGTCGACCATGGTTCGCGTCCCAGACCCGGTGGCTTAAAACTCACGCCGGGTGCGTGTGCGTGCGTGCCCAAGATCCCAGGAGGAGAATGGAGGAGAAGGGATTGCGGCGTGACCATCCCCTCTGGGGGGTGATTTCTCGCTTTCTGTCTCTATGTCTCTCTCTGTCTGTCTGGCGAGCGCACGCGCCCTGTAGCAAAAACCTCTCCAAAAAAAAAAAAAAAAAAAAATGATCATATT